CAATATGAAACCTACCAGAAATGAAAGAAAATCTATTAAACAGTGAATTATGCATTGCAAATATAATTTACAGAAATAATACCAAAAATTGCACAGTAAAACATTTTAGAATCAATCAAGATCAGGGTTGCTTCCACTCACTTGCTATAAAAACATATTTTTCGGAATTATGCAATCATTAAATGTTATAATGATATGATGTACTAGTAAGTAGCAAGAAGAGGGTGTAAAGTATGTGTTTGACTCATAAAACCTGTCAATTTCGCTTTCAGAGCATCACAATCAACGATCTTATGATTCGTGAGCGTTCACTCAGAGTGAGCGCTCACGAGTCGTAAATTCGTTGATTGTGACGCACTGAAAGCAATATTGACAGATTTTATGTATCAAACATATACTTCATGACCTCTTCTTGTAACTTACAAGTACTAATTAGCATTATACTATTTCATGATTTCATAATTCCGAAAAACATTTGTTTATAGCAAGTGAGTGGAAGTAACCCTGATCAAGATTTATGGTTCTCGACATCAGAACGAAATATATGGAGATACATGACTCCAAAAACGATATCAGTAAATATTACACACAGGAAAAGCATGACAAGACTAAATGTAATTGAAACAGGTGAATTCAGACTACAACCAAATATCCCAAGCAACACGGCTTGTCAGAAAGAAGTTGAAAATACTTTTTAATGACTAACGTAATGAATCATTAATACTTTAATGTAAATCATTTAATACATTTATACAACCTAAAAAGCGCAAGACGTGGAGCTTATACAACTAAATACTAGTCTTATAACATGTTTTGGAAACATCATAAAAACCAGCGGCAAAAACAAAATAATAAAAAAAAAAACTTGAGCATGGGATTCGATCACTGGTCCTTGGCGTGGTAGACTTATTACTTCCTAACTAGACCAACTCCGCTTGATGAGAGGTTTGTCATAAGTATCTATCATTTTCTTGCCAATGGCATGAACATTATTTTCTCGTTCATAAAAATGTTGTGTTAGTAGCAAAGCGTTCATCTAATTGCCAGAATGTTATGTAAAAGTATTTTCAACTCCTTATAAGGCAACCTGCACATTTTTAGTTTTATTAATTTATGAGATGTCATAAAAAAGTGTTTGCAACTTTCTTTATAACATACCTCAGAATACCTCATAAGAAACTGTCAATCACTGGATGAAGAGACAGCCCGGCTCAATGGCGCCGTCAATGTTTACGTCAATCTGGAATGTACAGAATCTCTTCAAGAACTTTATAAATTCAACTAAGATTTATTTTGTATACGACAAGCTTTATAGTGGTATTAAAACTGTAAGATGAACCTTTAAATAACATTTAAAGATAAAAGCAAAAGAAAACTATTTTTTGAAAATGTTGAATCTAGAAAGTATGAAGAAAACATCTTTAAACCTCATATAAAACGTGGGATGTTTTCTGCATCACTTATAATACATTTATACAAAAGCCGTTCTATTTCTTTTTCAAAAAGATGTTTTATGTGTTACTTGGGATGAGTATAGAAACAGAAAACGTAAAAATACAGTATTTCGAAGAAGTTAAGAATTCGAAAATATTCACCAAATATGAGACAAACATAAATTTGACGAATATAACCATGGAAGATTGGAATATTAAACTACTTCCATTATTTAACACAACAGAGAAAGTTTATTCAATAGTAAACAGGAAGAAATTATTTGAACTTGGAGTAGATATAACTCAACATAAAGCGCAGAGAACGTTTCTAAAGAATTAAGCATATGCATCTTATAAATATCCGTGGTGTTTTTCATCAGGAACATTTATAGCAGGTGTTATAATGGTTGGAGTGTTAGCATGTTGTTTTAAAGTAAAGATCACATGTTGTGGTAGAAAATATATAATAGATGAAGAAGCGAGTGTGCAGAAAGATTTGAAAGCACACAGAACGAAAAAAGCGCAAAAAGGAAAAACACAGCAAAGGGAAAAAAGTATCAGAATCATAAATAAAACTACCGGTATAGACATGAATGAGCTATCGAATACAATATTCTACGAAAATCATGCGATCAAAACAGATACAAAAACAGAAATAACAAATGAAATCACATATGAAGATGAATACAATGGGGTAAGAAAAAAAGAGATAAAAAAGTGAAAATAGATGAACTACAAGCATGTAAAGAACAAAATACAGACACAAAGACAGTGCATGAAGGATACACAACAAACAATGTAAATGAAGCCATAAAATCAGAGAATATGGCTGAAATAAAAAGGAACCGTAAAAAGAATACTTCAAATATTTCAATAGTGTGAAAGAGACAGATGGAAGGGGAGTCGACACCCAGAATGTTGGAATATTATGAATATGAGTTTAGGAATAACTGGATTACAAGAATTACGGAGGTACTACGGCATAAAAACGATCAGTGATTGATTAAAGAAGGAATGTCATTGTGATATTGATACCTACAGCTAATTAATAACAAAAGAATGTGTCCATCAATACGGCAAGCGTAAATACCATTGAATATTGCACATTGCAAAAACGTTTTGAATGGACCGAAGAGCTGGAAAACCCAGTATAGCTCTGCTATGCCTGTAAAGGGTATCAACGACACACAGATAAAATTAAGAGAGAAATGGATCAAAATACATGCGAAACGATGAATATTAAGACATAAACCAGTACATTGAAAATACCAGCAGAAATGAATATAGGTAGGAAGGTAGGTGGAAAGTAACAGAGCAATTTTTTTTTTATATGGTTCTTAAGTACGGCGTTACACTCCGCCTAAAATTCTACGATGGATGAATTTATTTTTCAGAGATAAAATCAGATATAATAGTATATTTGAGTCTAATTACAGAACCCACCGTTAAACCTCAAAAGCGAAAGGGGAGTTTTGCAGCAATTTCAAGACAGGACGCGCCAGGAAAAAGGATAGGTGAGTGAAACATTCGTGACTATCAGACTTGACAAAGACTATGACACAAAGAAAACTAGGGAAAGACTCACAAAGTGAAAAAAAAACAAGAAAATTACTTAGCATAAATTGCTGCAAATAGGGATAGATACAATTTTTACATCAAATATATGAAAAAAAAAACGTTGATTAGCAAACGAACATAAAAGAGATCGAATAGGGAGCTAGGAGATTCTCCGAGAGTACCGAGAGATGACAAGATCGGGCAGCATCCGATGGCATGGCATGACATAAGAAGTATCAGCAATGACACAAGAAGTACCAACATTCCGCTGAGGTGAAAAACGGGAACAACATTCCATAGTTACACGAGAGACAGACAAATCATGAAGAAGATCAAAGATAAAAGGTATTGAGGAACATTGGTCGGACGGAAGACAACACGGATGCGGCACGAAGATACAGCGAGACAAAAAGGAAACGGGTCGAAACGAGGGGCGAAAGACAATATTCCAAATAAGGGACGAGACGAAATACAATGAGAAGAGCCAGAAATCACAATTCCGGAGTGATTTGAGATTTGGGCGTAAATCGCCGATTTCTCGTGAGTAAAACCTCAATCTCATAAATAAGAGGATTAATTCCTTCACCTCGTAGTGTTATTAGTTTTTGAAATTGAGCTTTCATCCGCGAGAAATCGGCGATTGACGTGTTTGTTTACAAATGCAATTACGCGCAAATCTCAAATCCCTCCGGAATTCAAGTTACGTGACATGATAAGGAGACAACGACGATAATTATCAAAAAGTGCGTGAGGTCAAGACGCAACAGCTAGGTACACTGGGTACTCAACAAACGAGCGAGGGTTCATAATCTAAAAACCCAGGAACGCGAAATTCCAACAAGAAACACACAAAAAAGTCCATCTACGGCAGACAATGAGAAAACACCACAACAACATTTAACAAGAATCGGCAATCAAATATGAACGCGACAGAAAGCCAAATTTCAAAACTCAAAACTAGGAATTCAACTAGACACGTCAAACGGAATCCAACGGACCCGGGGAACGGCAGGCGAAGACGAATTGCACATGAGGCGAAATAGAGGAGACAGAAACACAGTCACCAATAACCCATACCTGACATCTGTGATTAACGGATTGATGAGTCAACAACGAGGAGCGAATGAAAGCATCGGCAATGGGACAGAAGTAGCTGAAAAAAGCAGAGGCACTCTCGGGGAAGCAGGAAGATAGGGACAAGAAATTTAGGAAAGAATTCATAGAACTAATACTTTGGTTTCCCGCGCATTCACTTGAGATTACTCTTTTCAATGGTAATCTCAAGCTGAGTAAGTATAGGGGCATGCAGAGCCACGAGGGCCAACGTCCCGGGAGAGGGTGGATAGACGCAGCAAATTTATGTCATCAAGGGGAAAACAGAACACATTCGACTTTGGACTACAAACAGCTGACTGGACATACGAGACGAATAATGCCCTGGATGCGAAGTGCAATTATCGGTAAAAACAACAAATTCATTTTTATGCAAGGTTGCACTTCGGATCTAGGTGGCGATGGTATGACGGGTTAGAGTCATGGGATATATGAAGTAAATGAAGAAAAAACAAAACGATCGGTGAACGACCGGTGATAATAACATTGCGAAAAAATATGCTCGCGACGCGCGCAACTAGGGAGCAAAGAGAATGAGAGTAGAGAGGGTAAGAATGCCCAAAGAATTATGTACTTAGTAAATAGGTTTTGGGATAGTATAAAAGAGATTGATTAATTAATAAACGGAGAAGTATTCTCCAACTCGAAAAAGGTTTTGGTAGTCGCGTAGGTTCGGACGTGAATTATTTCCGACTTCGAAATCCTAGTAGGGAAGGGGATTAGACTTCAGTAGTTGTTCCCCGGTAAGGGTAACACACAGCGAGTTCCAGTAGTAGCATACCCCAAGTGGAACAGCATGGAGCTCAAGGAGAGCAGCTAGGTGCGGTGCCATGCCAAATATTCACACCGAAATCCAGCAGTGGCAAACAGCAAGAATTGCAGCTTGGGAGAACCGAAATGACGGAGGTTAGGAGGAAAATCGATGAACTCTGAGCATTATATTGCAAGTATGAGAACAAAATACACAAGGAGGTCAAGCTACTAGCGACGGTTATCAAATCCAGCATAGCTCTGGCAGATCGAGAACTGCAAGAATGGAGAAGAAGAGCCGAAGCGGCCGAAAAGGCTCTGCTTAAGGCCAAGGAGAATGCAATGCTGGCTGAAGCGCAGGAGACGCCGAAGGGACCAACGAATCCACGTCCGGAGAAAAGAGTTAGACGCCAGGAGACGAGGAGGACGCCAAAAAACACAAGGACGACGAATACGGGGACAACGAGCAAGAAGATGGAGAAGACAGTGATTGGCATAAAGTCGAAGGAGAAGGAGGAAAAAACTGAAGGAAGAGGAACAAAGGAAGAAGGAACAGGAGAAGAAGAAGGAGAAGGAAAATAAGAATGAAGAGGAAGAGAAGAAGAAGACGGAAGACAGGAAGAAGGAATTAAAGAAGAAGAAAAACCTCAGGCATCGTAGGAAGAGAAGTAAGGGCTACGCTCTGGTTATCAAGGTGAAAGACAAAACGACATACGATAGTTCAGCCTTCAAGGAACTCGTCGAAAAATTTCTTGGCGAGGACGTGAACTTAAGAGCCTTATCGCAGGAGTAAGTGGTCTAGTGCAAGGATCTGGATGAGATCACAACTCAAGACGAGGTACACGGACAGAAAATTGTTTGCATTGAACCAAAAAAAAAACTTCATTTGTATTTAAACAAACAAATCCGGTTGAAATTATATTGCATTTTATTGTTTCGATAATACTTATTCAAATAAATTCAAAATAAGATTCGTTTAGTTTTAATAAGCCCCTCTTCAACTGCAACTCATTGTAAAAATAACAATATTCTTTTATTAAGCCAACAATAGTTAATTTGAATTTTGCCCTGTAACGTGGGTAGATCACCTTTTCGTGGTACGTTACGGGATGTAAGATCTACCACCGATTCCTAGTCCTGACTACTTCAAACTAGGGGAACAGGTTTTTTCAGTAATCAAAGGAACACATCTTAGTCCTTGTTACTTTTTATGCCTTGTTGATAGTGATAAGTCCTCGGGTTGCCTGGACCGAGGATGATCTTGAAACAAGAAAAAATGAGTTAGTTAGTCTTCACCTATGTATGTGATTCCTAATCTTCTATTCGTTGTTCCCTAGTTTGAAGTGGTTAAGACTAGGGTTCTGATGCATGGTCATTATCGGTTTCATAGCTTGTTTTTGTTGTTAAGGAATCCAATTTTGACTGACAAAGGGGCGCGCCTTTGGAGGGTGTTTCAACACTCCGAAGGGTATAAATAGCGGAACCTTTCAGTGAGAATCGATTCCGTGCGATGAAGGCAAGAATGACAACTGTATCAAAACCGAATACTTCATCATTTATCAATAGTGATGGAGTAATACGACATGCACTAAACTAAGGATACGGGATGTACTACAATAGATCAAATTACTGGTCGCAGTGGTGTTATGTCCCGAACAGAGGAAAAAAAAGCCAACAATAGTTAATTTGAATTTAGGCCATGAATGCAAAAATAACTACCAACCATTCCCTCGTTCCCGAAAAGAAATGTTAACAATAACACAAAACTGTTCTCGTTTGATTCTGTGATATTGTTTTTAATAGTGAATTTCGGGAAAAAAGTGCAAGATTTCCGAAAATTAGTAATTAAGTATGCTGCAGTTGCTTAATATAAACAGTTTTCTTTTTTTTCCTTGATTTGTTTTCGTCGATCTTGTTTTCAGTACTAAGTACCAATGCTCCCAACGCCAGGAAGGCCGCTCCCACACCTGGATCCTACCTATCGACCCATCAACTCATGAACCGGAGAGATTTATGCCTCAGAAAGGTTTTTTTTAAATTCACAACATATTTTTTTTTCTAATGCGCGTATATTTTCAGGCTTGATAAAATAAATATGATTGAATCAACAAGAAATCTCTTTTAAAAACAAACATATTTTGTTGTTGACCAAGCTACCAAATTTGACAGCTTACGTCAAAACCATGAAAGCTCTTGTAAATTTGAAAAGATTTTCTTTTTGATTTAACAATCCATGGGTTTTTAGAAACAAAGATACTAGATTATTTAAGGTGACTTACCGGATACCGGAAAGTTTAAGGTGACTTACAAAAAGGCAATAGCGGGCCAATAGTAATGGAGATAACCCAAATATATTTCAATCATTGTGACACAGCACAGCAACTGTTGTGAAAGTCGACAACGGAAACAAAGTGCGACGATGCGATGATTGCGGAGCCGTATCGAGTCCCTCCCGATAACGATAACTGGGTAACCGATAGAGCAGGGATGGCGGCAATACAAGTTATGGGCCGGTATCCCATACAAGAAGTGGTGACGAGGTCTTACGAAGGTTTTGTGATCGCCAAAATTAATGGAACTTTCATATGTAGTTGCTGTGCACCCCCGAGATGGACAATGGAGCAGTTTCACCAGATGCTAGATGGACTCACCGGACGGAGACGGAGACCAATCGTCATTGGAGGAGATTTCAGTGCTTGGCCAGTGGACTGAGGAAGTAGATGTACCAACACAAGAGGGTAGCCAACAGATACCTACGGCAATGTGGAAAACGAAAGTAAGCAAGCGGAGGTGGAAGACGAAGGCATTTGACAAGGATCTTTTTGTAGAAGCTCTCCGGGTAGACAGCAGCGTCCCAGACCAAAGCACGGATGAGTTGACCGAATCGTTAGCGAGGGCATGCGACACAAACATGCCGAGGAAATCTGAGCCAAGGAACAGACGGTGCCCAGCTTACTGGTGGAACGAGGCACTTAGCACCCTCCACGCTAGTTGTCTCCACACCAGAAGGCGCGTTCAGAGAGCCAGAACTGATGCAGACAGAGCAGAGCGAAGGGTGGTGCCAGCCAGGGCCGCTCTAAAACGGGAGATAAAGCTGAGCAAGTCAAATTGCCTCAAGGAGCTGTGCCGAGAGATGATCATCGAGTTAGCAACGCCGGCTAGCTGAGCTAAAGAGAAGTGCTTGAACTTTGCACTATCCCTTCACTCCACCGAGAAATCTCATAAGAAACTGTCAATCTTTTCTAGAAAAGAAGATTGTTCGACGGTGCCGTCAACGCCAATTGATTGAATTTAGCAGAAATGATCCGTAGGACAGAAGATCGGTCTATTTTTAGGGCATTTATATCTGTATTTTACCGAGCTAGATTAAGTGTGTAACCAGTGCGTTTTTGTCTGCTAATCTTATTAAATGTTATGGGATAGACCATAACTAGGTAGGTCATGACTTTTCATACACATTTCCTTACAGTTGGTGAAAGGTCATTTTGGATTCAACCTGCTGCACGGGTAAGTTGAACATTGATTAGCTGCGTCGTGGGTGATTTGCCCATTATTAAAATCGGTGGATTATCACATTTCTGGTGACCTTGCACGGAGCCGAACCTGGAATCTTGGAGAGGGGGATAGGTAATAAAGGGCAGCTCACCCACTTGCAAGGAAAATTGGAAATGCGAGTGAGGACGGATTTGCAAAAATCGTCTCCTCGTGGTGACACTGCCACAGGATAAGAATACGACCGTCGGCCGTTCTGAATGCGAGTGAGGACAGGCATACGAACAGCAGAATCTCATGTCCATCGCGTTGAGGCTTTGCTGCAGAAATTGTCCGAGTCGACCATCAGACCACAAACGAAGTGACAGACGGAGCGGCTCGAAAACTTTGGTGACTAACCTGCTATTTCAATTTTTCAGTGTACCAGATGGCAACACCACTACTACTAGATTGTACCACATGACAACACTACTACTGGATTGTACTAGCATTTTCACCAAATGTATTAGAATGTTTTGGTTATATCTCTTTCACTCTACTCAAAACTGAAATGCATAAAAAAATGACAAAATGATACACTCTTTGCACACTGTCAAAGAATCATTGTACACAAAATCAACTTTGTTCAAATCAAAACAAAAAAAAAACTAACCCATCTAGTGGATGATGGCACAAGCTTCCAAGAAAATTCTATTACAGTGAACCACATTATTTAAATGGATTTCTTCGCCAGTTAGTCGTCTGTCACTTCGTTTGTGATCAGACACTGCACAGCTAAAAAAAAGTAGTGTAAATTTCCGTTACTATGATGCACATAAATGGAGCGTCATATATCATACAAGTTTAGATTATAGATCGTGTAAATTTATGAGACATGTCACGCAATATTCCATATATTGTATGCAACTGTCCACTTTTGTTTACAACATTTCTTGCAAGCTGCTAGTTTACGTGAAAAGGAAGTTTACATGTATGAATGTTTGCATGCCGGCGCCGGTGGTGTAGTGGTAAGCGTGACTGCTTTCTAACACCAAGATGGGTCTGGGTTCAATCCCAGCCGAGGTCGGTGGGATTTTTCTGAGGCATAAAAATCTCTGGTCACGTCTTCCTTCGGAAGGGAAGTAAAGCCGTTGGTCCCGGCCCATGTGTGTTGAATGGGTGCGATATCCTACGCAGATGTGGAAGATGCCTTCCTGCACATTCGATTGCCGTCAGTGGATGGCAATCGATGTCCGTCGGAGATTGGCACTAGATTGCGGAACAGAGACCGACGTTAAATAAAGGAAAGAAGAAGAATGTTTGCATGCATGGATGTTTACATCGCACGTAAACTTTTTTGGTGTGTGTGATCTGGTTCCAGACTACTGTGAAAATCACCAGTCGATTAACGTTGTCAAAGTGAGTTTTGATTCTAGACGCAGCCGATGCCGCCGATGTCGCTAGAAAAAGAAACGGCGATTTGTTTTTGCTTATATGAAAAAAAAGAATGGGAAATACTGGTTTTAATGTAAAAATTGACACTGGTGGTTCAGCAAATTTTTGCGGAACACAACTACAAAATATTATTTTACCTAATTACGCTAAAAAAATAAATAAAATAAAATCAACTCTCTATACATTTTTTTAATAACATTATGCCTATAGAAAGGTGGGTGGCGCCATGAGGTTAGTGAAATTAAAACTGACAGCATTCAGTAATTCATTATGATTAATTATTGCTTAAAAAAACTTGTATAACTTGTATACCGAAGGAGAGGGAAGATATGAGATGGATAATAACTAGGTAGGACATGACTTTTCATACACAGGTTATTTTGGATTCAAGCTGCTGCACGGGAAAGTTGAACATTGATTTGCTGCGTCGTGGGTGATTTGCCCATAATTAATATATTAATGTTATACATAAGTATTTTAAAGACAAATTTTCCAGCTCAAATCTTTGTAGGGGTAAGCGGTCATCATCACCTTCAATAACTTGTTTTTTTCTGTATTCGTCGATTAGTATGTGGGATGCTTTCCCACATGTGCTTTCACTATATCGGGGAAAAATTCCCCCCTCCCTATCGTCAAGTTTTTCCAATACCTAATGCATTGCTTGTCACAAAATCTTAGACCCCCCTCCCCCCCTTAGAGCGTGACATAATATATGCATTAACCCCTATAGGAAGACAGCGAGTGATACATACGAAGAGAAGCCGGAAGAGTACGGAAAGCGGTGAGAGCGGAGTCGTTGGCTAAGTGGCAACAGGTGTGGAACATGGCGGAGAACGGTAGATGGACACATAGACTAATACCAT